GGCTGACGCCCACGCCCTACGCGGCTTGAAGGCTGAGTGGGCGACGAAAGTTCATTTGGCTATCCTTGAGCCTCGTTTCGCTCAAGTGCACTTCACAGAGCAAGGTCTGGATATTTGATCCGTGCCATGTCTGTTTCGAGATCCCCATCCTTGCGAACCAGTTCCATGAGAGTGACAGCCATCTGGTTTTGCAAATCTCTGAGCTGGCCTTTCAAGAAGTTCAGCGGTTCGCAGAGACGGGCGTTGTGGATGAGCAAAGGCAAGAATTCTCAGTTCCTGTTGTTCAGGGGTTTGCTTTGCGCCCAGGGTTTTGATTGTCAGCTCAGTTTGACACATAGCTTGGAAGCTTAGCTGGGAAAGCTTTAAAGCAGCATATGGCACACAGTGAATTTGATACATTGTTACTAAACATGGATGCCGAGCTATGATTATAGAGAAATATACCCTCACATAGCCCTAAATGTCAGCCGTCATGTGTTTCGACCGCAGTATCGAAATTGCACCTCACTCACACCCGCTCTTTTCTTCAGGGTTGAAGGTCACGTGACCTTTAGTTCTTGGCCGCTAAGCGAAACAAGATGCGTTTGTCCACTTGTTCGCGGATGTCAAAAACTGTCACAGTAGCAAGCCAGTTGCTCTTAGAGCAACTCAATGTTGGTTCATCCTCCCCGAATGATGAGGCCGCGATTCCGCGATCCGTTACGCGGAGAACTTAGAGGCCGACAGATCGCCCCCTGGCTGAGGATGATCTTAGCGCTCACCCGTCTCTGTTATAAATGCAGATATATTTGGTTAACTTTTCGAGCGCTTTTTCCGCAGCTGTTTTTCTCTCCGCAGCTGTTTTGGGAAGGCCTATCACTTGAGCCCTTTCGGTCGTTGGGGAACTCAGTCAGACCATCATGTCGAGCGTTGTCATTGCTTTTTGAAGGGGGCCCAGCCACCCCCATTGTGGTCTTGACAAAGGACCCCGCATTGTCTTGACATTGAGGTGTTGGCCTTGGTGGTGGCCCTTGCTGTGAGCCCTTCATTGCGCAAGGCTAGCAGTGCTTGGGAGAACTTGGCGGCGCAGGGATTGTGATTGTTTTAGGGACTTGAGAGTTCTCGACCGCGCTCATGTCTAGCTATTTAATTTAGATCGTAGACATTGAACTGAAGTCATTTACTTCTTCGGCTTCTTGCACTGCTGGCATGACCATCAAGCGTATTGTCTGGTTAAGGGTTGGGGCGACTGTCAAGTCCGCAGTGGCAGTCAAATGTTATGTCACGGAGGCAACGGGCGCCGCAGAGACTCAGACCACTCTGGTTGCCAGTAACGCTCAGACCACTGATGCTGTTTTGCCTGTCAGCGCAAGCGTGACGGACACAGGGCCCTCACAGCCCACTGGTTCCAAATATTTCAGCGATATCGCTTGCAGGTGCAGGACTGTCCACCTTGCACCCCTGCTTGCCTGATTTCCTGCCAGGTTGGATGATGCCAGATGGAAGCGACCAGCAGAGTCCAGTAAAAGAAGAGTCTAGCGGAAGCAGCAGAAATTGCACAATTTTCATAGGATTCCTTAATAGTTTTCTAGGATTCGAAACGACAAACCAAGTATATGTATGGAAGGAGGCACCGTCCTTTTTTTCAAGCTGGCGATAGGAATCATGTGTGTACCAATGCTACAAATTTCTGCAAGCCTATATTTTATATAGGTACATACACTTGTGTAGCCAAATTTTTCCTTTTCAACCTTTCTTGCAAGCCAGGACGAGATGCAGATCGTCCCACGAAGAAAGAGACGACGAAGGTCGATATGGCTGGACGAGAAGTCCACACAAATTCCTCAGAAAGTGTGACCCAGCGGGTGATTGGCATGTGAGACATGAGACTTGGGTTGACGGGTTCTGAGCTGAAACAACTGAAACAATTGCATGTTCAGCAGGTAGCTGCGTCCAATGAGGCCGAAGTGTGGCAGACAGGTACGAAGACACCAGCAAAATCACCCGTGCCAATCCATGTGAGTACGGTATTTTCCTGCCACATCAGCAGGGCCCCCAGAAAGCTTTCATTTGCACAGGACCAATCGAATCTGACTGTTTCCCATCTTCAGAGGGCACAGTTTTCCCACTGAGGAGCTACCACATCGGCTTGACCACAGTCTTTGGGGATATTTGTCCCTTGCTTTGTGATCCGTGCGGCGCCTGGGAGTAAGTTTTTCTCGCGTCGACCCCCGACAGCGGCTTCGACCGTCTCGGCAAGATAAGGCTACGCAGGGCATCTGATGTTGGCGCAAGGCCATTTTTGCTGATTGCACCTGGATCCGATGGGAATACAGCAAGTCCAATCAAAAAAATGGCGTTTGCTAGGTGAACCAGCTGTGAGAGATGTGCTTGACAGCAACATGTGGAAGAAATTTTGCGTTGCTTTTGTTTGGGTAGTTACTATCGTTAGACTATCCTGCTGTCAGAATGACACCACCCAACCTACCACAGCCCAAGGCGTTTTCTTTCAGGCTACTGACATTGTGGCCTACAGAACCACTATGCTCACATCATATTGCAGTGTTCAGGCTGAGAAGAGCCAGGGCGGAGGAGCAACTGCAATAGACTGTTGGTATTGCGATGCCTGGACCCATAAGTTGCTGATCATTGTTGTTTGGAACCAGAGCAAGACCAATGTTTGACAGAGTGTTTGATGCGGTTTCTTTCAATTGTTCATCCGTCTTCTGGGTGAGATCAAGGGGATAGGGGGTGTTTGTTCTCAACACTTCTTGTTTCTGCTAGTAGCAGTCTGTAGCAGCTGCTGTACAAAGCTACAGAAGGGCCATTTGCACGTTTCTTTTTTTGATGTTAGATGAAAAAGGACACAAACAACAAGGTGAGAGAACACAGCAACAGCTTTAGGAGACTAATATACCTTCTCCTCCGCGAGACTTGCCTGTTCCAGAGTTGCAGCCTGAGAGTTGAGTGGACCGTGCCTCTATTTTCGGGTTGGAGATGACAGCAGTGTGAGACACCTTTCCAGAAACATCAACCTTTAATCTAAGTTCCCATTTCCCTAGGAGTCAGTCCAAGCATCCAAGCATTCCTTCCATACGTAGCTTCAGACCAACATCAGGGGATTGCCCAGCCAGGTTAGCTGCGGATGCCAGCGCAGTGGTTGAGGGCGAGGCGCTCGCCTTCACTGCCCAGAGTTGTGAGAATCAACCTATATATCTATATAATAGCGATGGCCTCCAACTGAATATTTAGTGATGGCCCCCAATCGAGTAAATGGCGATGGCCTCCAACCTAATTATATTTAACGATGGTCTCCAACCTAATAATTAGCAATGGCCTCCAACCGAATAAATAGCCATGGCCTCCAACCGAATAATTAGCGATGGCCTCCAACCGAATAGTTATAGCGATGGCCTCCAACCGAATAGTTAGCGATGGCCTCAAACCTAATGATTAGTGATGGCCTCCAACCGAATAATTAGCGATGGCCTGCCATCCCAATAATTAGCGATGGCCTCGAACCGAATAATTAGCGATGGCCTCCAA